ATTATTATTTCAATTAATAATTAGTTGTATTCTGATGTAAGTGAATTTGAAATTGCACGTTCACAAAATTACTAGACGCGCCACGCGAGCGCAAAGGATTAAATTAAAATTGAAAATGTCATATTTCTTATACACGTCATCTTTCCAAATTCTTTATTATTATTCTTTTAAATTTGTCCACGATGATTCTTCCTCACTATAAGTGAAAAATCTCTGTTTAGTTTGGAACGAGCACGACGCAGGAATTTAAAATAGAATATAACACCGTTGCTGTCAGGCGGTAACATCAAAGTGCATGTATCAGGTTCCAACCAGCCTCGAACATGCGAAAATGTAGTCAGATCTCAAGGTGATAGGATAAAACACAAACATAAAATTTATCCGAATTAAATTTGGCTTATCTTCAAATTACACGTGCGAGTGTCTTTATTAATTATTTAAATTAGCTGCTTTCCGTTTTGTATTCGCATATTAGGGTTCCGAGCGGTTCCGAGTGGTTCCGGGCCCCAAGAAGAGGCGCGCCCCCACCACCGGTCCCTCCCTTTGCAGCTCGCGCGGTTCCGAACGGTTCCGAACGGTTCCGAGCGGTTCCGGGCCCCAAGGAGAGGCGCGCCCCCACCACAGTCCCCTTCCTTCGCAGCTCGCGCGGACGGTTAATCTCACCAGTTGAATTTCGCCGCTCGAACACTTTGCATCTGATCGCTCCTGTCGACACTTTCTTTACGCGTCTTGTCATCGCATCGACGTTTCTTGACTGATTATCATTCGATAATTATTTCTTAAATAATTACTCGCTAAACACTCACTTCTTAAATAATTATTCGCTAAACACGCGTTTTTTAAATAATTATTTAATCAATTTAGCGCGTTAACGCGCGAACATATCTTCAACACTGATCGAGATGCGGCAGGTGTGGATCGTGCAACAATTACCGATGCCGGAGGTGTCGAACGTGTTTTATCCATTGAACACGAGCCTGGAGGACGAAATGAAGAGATTGTTTACGAACTTCTGGATCGAGAAGACTACATCTGCGCCTTCGGTAAATGGTAAGTCGTTTCTTTTCTCGGTTTTCATATTAATTAGGATTTACTGGAAATAGATGCGATGGTTGTCTTTAAATCATAGCTTTCGTTCACCTTGCCGGCGAGGAACAGATTCGTGTTTCAAAGTGTTTTAATTTGCCGTGCGCTCAATGTCGCGCTAGGGAACTTGTAACATAATCGTTTTGCGTCGTACAGTTACATAGATAGCATTGTTCGTTTAATCATAAATTAAGTCGGCAGATTATTATACGTTTTCATGAATTTCTTTTTAGTATACAATTTATTAGATCTACCAGAAATACATATTCCGTATTCATTAAAAACGATATATAAATTGCAATCATCCTGTCGAGATGTCATAAATAATGATAAAAAATTACATTATTCGATAAAATTTATTCAATATACGAGAAATTTATTATTTTGTGTTATTCTAAAAACGAACAGAACTTTTCGGTAGATGTGATATATACATTTTTTCGAGCATCCCTTTTCGTTTAGAATAAAAGAAACTAATTATTAGTAATTATTTTTGAGAATTTCGGATCTTGTAATGTATAACGAAATAGCGTCGACAGTTTGTATACCGAATTTCTGTTTCGCTATGGTCACCCTGTCATCTGCCACAAACTTCGTTTGTTTTCGATGGATACATACATATTGTGACACGTAGTTTCGTGTCAAGTTTAAAGGAATCCTTTTTTAATTAAATCAAACTGAGAAATATTCATAATGTAGCACAGGAGATTTAAACTGAAACATTTTAGATATTCTTAAAATATCAGATAGTCGAATTTCAAATTGTGTATCCAGATCGTAATTGTGCGCCAAGTTTTGATCCGGTCTTTCTGTATTTAGTAATCAGTCGAATCGATAAGAGAAATTCTAAAACGTGCCCGTGGCACAACTGGTTATCGTCGATTCGTAGAACCCCTTTATTGAGTCCAATTCGCCGAAGTCAAGAAACTTCAGTAAATATACTTTCTATTTACTTCTCGATCGTAGCTTAATTTACCGCGGTGTTTCCCGAACTAGAACGGCGCACTACAGAAAATGTAATCACGTGTAATTAAAGTAGAGTTCTTGATCTTTCGAATGGGATAGGTACATACCGATTAAAAATATTATTCAAAGAATAATTAAACACATGGATTTAGTTAAATTGGAAATAATTTCTATTTATATTAATGTAGAGATATTCTTAGTTTATTCGAAAATTATTCAATTCATTTCGTATTTTTATTTGAATAGAAATAACATTAAGTTGAGCAAATTTTATTCTCGTGCACGAAGACCTTTGTGCATGACCTTTCCACAGATTTATTATTCGTTATTTAATTCTACCTTTGTTAAAAGCAGTACAAACTAGTCAAATGTGTAAAACACGAATGACTTCTATCTAGATGTATACTAAACACGTAATAATTAATTCCATCAAGAGTTTGAGAAACGCTGGCACAGGCTGTCGAATTCCGAGAAAATGATGTCACCTATACATGTAGGGTGTACTTGGTCGAGATGAAAACAAAGATAAACGTTAACGAATGTCGTTAATCTTTTTCTCTCGATCGAATTTTGAAGCGCGTATTTATGATACTCTATATTTACTTTTCGGTCGAGCATCGATTCCATGGCGGTTTCTCCTTCATCTTAAAAATACGATGACTGTTTACAAAGTGTGAAATCGGATACAGCAACCGTTATTCTCTCGATTCATGCGCTATCGAACCCTCCGGTCGGCAAAAAGACTCAACGAAAATAAACGATCCGGCGCGATAATTAAGCAGCCATACATTTATGTTTTGGTTTTTTTTCATATTCAAACTTTCTATCAGCGCCTCTAAGGAAAACTATGTCATAAACATTTCACGTATTTTCGTCCATGCGACGAATTTAGAAATTTTAATGAGACAATGCATTATCATTCTTGATTAATTACTGTTAGACTGTGAACTTTTATGCAATGTGTATAAAATATCAAGAATAGTTTAAAAAGTAGAAGAAACTTTTATTTAAGCTTATATTCCCTTTCTATACCTATGAAGATATGAACTTGCATAAACATCCAGTCTGCACATTAGTATTTCTTCTGCAGTCCATAGTCGTGGTCTACTAACAATTTTTATTTAAAAAATACTCTTTGAAGTCGAAGACGGCATTTTTATCTGATATACATATTGGATTGTACAGAAAGTTCGTGGCAATTTTTAAGAAAACTTCAAAGGCACATTTGAATTTCGATATATATTTAATATATATTTATATTTGATTATATATATTTATATATATATATATATATTTTTATTATTATTATTATTATTAAAGGTATTAAACCACCTACGGGATTATTAGCAATATGCACATAGATGTGCATATTATCAGTACATATATAGATTTACATTATAATATATGAAATACAATACAATGCGACAATACAATTTCGAAAAAGAGTGCAAAACATGAATCAAGAATAATAATAATATCAAGAATTATAGGCTTATCATTAAGGATATACACAATTGTTTTTCAGAAATTTTTTCAGAAAATAATTAGCCGCGGTTTATATTTATATTTGATATATATTGAATTATATAAGTACCATTTTGTTTCGCAACTTTTTCCACCTTTTAAGAGATGTACACATGTCATTTGTTTCTAACCATTCCAAGATATGTACATATAGTTGTAAAAACAATATGGCGAGTAAATATTTCTGTTTAAACCACAATCATAAGTAATCAAATACAAAGGCACATAATTGATTTTTACGTGTAATAATAATACATAATCAAGCAAACAGACAACTTTTAATCTTCTCTCAGTCACATTCTATAAAAACACATATATGTATTTAGACTTGTACCACGTACCAAAAATCGGCATGGACTTTTCAGACAAACCAATATAAATAGTTTTTACAACAAAACAACTATAATTCATAATAATTTTACCTACACTCTCAATTGATATAATTTTTGTGATGTTGAATGTTGTAGTTGAGGATGTCATGGAAGAGTTCCGTCACAATGGCCGCGACTTCGAGTACTGTCCAGATATGGACAGCGACGCATTGAACGAAAAGTCGCCGCCACGTCGCAAGAAGAACAAGAAACCTTTGCCTACAGAATGCGTTTTCTGTAGAAACAATGGCGAAGAAGAGACTTACTACAGGGAACACTTATTGAAAGACGTCGATGGCCGCGTCCGTTGTCCAGTATTGAGGTAGACATTGCGAAATTTCAATTTTACCATGTATTTATAGATGACGCAATTACGTTTATGCAGCAGACGATTCAGAAAGTATATTTCTGTGGTTAGAAATATTTCTCCATGGTCCTTTAGTGTTTCATCTTTTGTAATTTCTAATCTTATATAATCTGAGGTTTAGACATTTCTCTTAGCACCCCGTCGCAGCGAACAAACGTTTATTTTACCTGTATTGTACCTATTTTATCCAACGTCTTGATACACAACGAACATCGAATTTTAGACCAATCAATAGAGCATTTTTGTGTGACAAAAATAGTAACATTAAACCGATTGTGCAGTTACATAAAATGGGATGCGTAGATTTATAAGTATATGTTTTTCACTTCAACTCTGTTCCGTTTTCCTTGCACAATCGATTCGCTGTTACTATCTTTGTTACAAAAACGCTGTTTTAATTCTCTACCGAATGGCCTATTTACAATTATCGCGAGCGAATCTCAACGGACCTTAGAATTTTCAAACAGGCGAAATAACTTGAAATGCTTTAAATTTCTCGCAATTCACACCGTTTTTTCTCCTTTGTCTGTCCTCAGAGCGTACACGTGTCCAATTTGTGGCGCTACTGGCGACGAAGCCCATACGATCAAGTACTGTCCAAAGAACCCTGGAACGTGGACAACCGTGAACGCCTTCAAACTGTTGAGAAACTCGATGGGCAAACGACGCAAGTAAAAATGCGCGTGCATTTTTACTCGACGTCCTCGCGTCGTTATCGTGTTAAAAAACGACGCGACGATTTTCTTCGGGGGCTCGACGCTTGGAGCTTCGAAATTCGACATGTTCGATCGTTCCTCCGTATCATCTGCTGGCAGGTAATCGTGTCGTTGACACCCTTCGAAGTAACAAATCAACGAAAGTATATCAAGCGGTAATAAGCAATATACATGTATATATGTATATTTAATAGATTCCTAAGAACGTTTTGTCCAATGAAAGTTACCACTCGTTGATCTATCAGCCAAATATATCTGTCGTACAGATTGCGCTGTCGAACACGGACAGAGTCTCCAGGTCGCGCAACAGGGAGGAAAATTTATTTTACATTTTCTTTTCGGTATCGAAACATTTTTATAGTTGGTGTAGAGGGAATAATAACGACGAAGATAATTTTTCAGTCTCGAACAAATCTTTATTAACTTCTCGGTCTTTAACTAATACATCTTTAATATTGAACAGTAACCAGAATGGAGGATAATTCTGAACGAAATTGTTATAATTAGTTTTGACATTACTAATTGTGAGCGAAAAAACTACGATAAATTCAAACGTACAACAATTGAGAAATAAAATAAAAATACTTAGAAACTATTCACAAAAGTGTAGAAAACGCGCCTATTAGAAATATCGGGAGGCCACTAAGTAACATACAAAATAAACAAATGATCGAAACGGTTTATAAATATTAATTTTATAAGTGAAATAAATTTTCGGAACCTGCGACGAACGAAACGGAAGTGCCTTAAGTATTACGTAATTCTGGGTCACCTTGTACCGGATCATCGAGCTTGTAGCGCGGATTGTCGAGAAATTAGGAGGCTACAGCCAAAGATCATAGTTCGTAGAAACTATTTATACTTTTTCGTGCCATATGTTCTCGGTGAAAATATTTCGTTTGTTCCTTAACGAATAACATCGCAAATTTCATCGTCATCGTTCATTTTCTTAGACAGAAGACGCGCATTTACAGATACAACATCGAGTCAGCAGTTGATATTGATCTTTTTCTTTTTTTTTTTTTTTTAATCGAGCGTGTATCGCGCATTTACACGTATCGATCCCGACGGAATTTTGTTCGCAATGATTGGCACGGTAGCTTGTTTAAAAAACATATTTGTCGTAGCTATAGTTCCGACGCTCCATACTATATTTCTATAATATACATTCCCAAGATTCTAATCACGATAAATATGGAATTTGATCGCATTGGCGTAGAATTTGCGAAACCTTTACTCGTATTTTTCGAAACGATTTTAGACGTTAATGCAACGAGCACTGTGATAACGAGACAATCCCTTTTTACGCGGAAGCCGTGCATTACACGATTCGTTCGACTACTACGATTACGTATTCAGATCTTGTCTTTTAAACTAATTACGCCGTCGAAAGAAATTTTGAGAATCAGATCGAACGGTAAAATCCCTCTTTCATCTTACGATGTTTCACGGCCTAAGCAATTCCAGAGTTAGATTTTAACTCGCCTAATTAAGTGCAAATATATATATATTCTCTTCCACGAGACGATAATACGATTAGATTTAGAATGACTTTTCTACATATCGATGGAGAATGTAGTTCTCTTTTATTTATAACAGAGTTGTTGCACAGTTACAAAGACTGTGTTTGTATTATATTAAACACGAGAGAGCATTCTTTATAAACTACTTAATCCTTTAAGCGGTCAGGTGGACAAATACGGCCAGTGAGAGTTGAAGTTCCTTTTACGCGTTAATTATTGGGTAGCTTTGACACATTCGAGATCCGATGACTCAGCCGATGGGTCACATTCAAAGTTTAGCTCGTGTGGGTTAAGGAAAATTAAAATTGATGCTTGCGAATTGAGAAATCAAGTCAAGTACGCGGGTAATTGGTACAAAAATGATTTAAAACAATAATAACTGATATTCTAAATCAGCGCCTGCCTAATCCTGTTCTATTGGGTTGTCCGGAATGTTCGTGTCAATTTGTAAGAAACATTTAAAGACACGTTTGAATTTTGATATATATTTTGAAATACATTTTAAAATTCCCTTTATAATATAAATTCAGATAACTATTGTACAATGCATAAATACAGGTGCACCGATTTCGATGATTTTTAAATATGTTGAAGAAATCAACATTTTCAATAACATTTTCCTATACATATTGAATATTGATGTATATTTTGAAATACAGTCAGTGTAATAAATATTCGCACAACGACCATTTATTTTAAATTGGTTGCTGTACGAATACTTTTTACACTGACTGTACATTTTAAAATTCCCTTTATAATATAAATTCAGATAAGTATTGTAGAGTCTATAAATACAGATGCACCTTTTGTCTGACCGTATATAAAATTAGTAAGAAAGAATAACTAAAGAGATCGTCTATAATGTTATTATTTTTATTGAATTATATATGTATCGGTCTGTTCCACAATTTTTCCACCTTTTAAGGGGATGTCCACATGTTATTTGTTTTCAACCATTCCCATATACAGACCTGTATATTCGGACCTGTACCGCCTACTAAAAACCGGCATGGACTTTCCAGACAACCCAATAAATAACAACGCTTGCATTAATTACCCGCGCATATAATTTTGAAAAATAGAATCTGATTGCGCGAGTTTGCAGCGCTCGTTCGTTCAATTTTTATCTCACTCGACTCTAGAACGTAATAGTTACCATATATAAATAGTGAACACGATCATTCATAACTATTCTCGTCAATGTTCCTTGTTTTATTTTGCGCGACGAATAAATAAAAACAGAGGAGCTTAGCATCGTAATTCTTTGTGTATGCGCAGTACCCGATATATCGTTTTCTTGGAACTCTGCTCGTCACGCAAAACCTTTTCTGTTCCTGTGTGTTCGATCATTAGGTCTCATCGAAGGTTGCGACGGGGATACGAAAACCGTTGTGTGTTTACATTCTTTTGTTCGCCACACTTGGATGAACTGATGGTCGGATCGACGCTGTTTCAGGCAGTGGGTTTTTTTTTTTTTTTGTTCGACGGTTCACAGATTTAACACGTGCGCGAAAATGAAACTAGAACAGTGGTTCTTAACCATTTCGAGCGTAGTTTAAAAATAGATCGAGATATGGATAAAATTGTCCACGGCTTTTGATCGCAAATAATTGGGTAATTATAGAAAACAGGTACATCCTCACCGATTTCGATGATTTTTAAATATGTTGTAGAAATCAACATTTTCCTATACGTATAACCGTCGCTCGGCCTTAGTTTCCGAGATGTTTGCACTCTTTGTTCGATTAAAAAATAAATTAGTGTATCATATCTACCGCATACAGTCAAATATTCACGCAAGTTCATGTTTAATCCTTTGAAAGTAATCCGTTCAGTAACGACGTCGGTGTCAAGGGTTTGTTTAGGCTCAGAAAAAATTAGTTTGACACTGACGTCGTTACTGAACGGATTACTTTCAAATGATTAAAAATGAACTTGCGTGAATATTTGACTATATGCGGTAGATATGATACACTAATTTATTTTTTAATCGAACAAAGAGTGCAAATATCTCGGAAACTAAGGTCGAGCGACGGTTATATGTGTAGGAAAAAGTTGTTCAAAATGTTGATTTCTACAATATATTTAAAAATGATTGAAATCGGTGAGGATGTACCTGTTCTCTATAATTACCAATAATTGTAATAAGAAATAAATTGGATAAAGGAAACGTTGCGGTTAAGAATCATTGAACTAAGACGGAGAATAGTAGCACGCGAACGAGCGTTGCGACAAACCAAAGTTTCCGAGCTCCTTTCGAAATCTCGATTCGGGTCGATGGTATTAAAGTATCTTCAGAATACTTATAATTTCGATACTCAATTATATTTATCGTATTGTATATTATCTAGCGTGTAAGATTTAGGGTAGAATAGCTTTTACGATGGACGATTAGTTCGGTATCGAAGGTACAATTTTCGCCGCTTATTAATCATTTTTCATTAACGGACCAATTGGTAACTGAACAGTTGCACAGTTGCGTAAAATGGTACCGCTTGTTTACCTACAGCGTATACCTATTATCCGTCATCCTTAAAACGGTCTTAAAAGTGTCGATACTGCTTTTGTACACGTTTAATTTTAACCCTTTCGTCGCGGTACTATACGAATTTTTCTCCATCGTAAATGAATTAGTGATGCAAGCTCATAAATGTATGTATGTATATTAATTAACCATATTAATGTTTTTTATAACCAAAGTTCCTACAAAAGTAATTGGTAGTTATAAGTGTTAGGATATGAGTAGGAAATAAGGATGACAATTGCTACGAGACGTGCCAATGCACCGCGACTATCGCGTACGGTATGACAGACTATTTCGACTGTATAGAAAAAAGCAACATGTTGCTTAGATAACGAAACCAATTAATTGGTTCGTGCAATTGGATGCACTCAATTGGTTGTTTAGCCCTTTGCTGTCGCGCAACTTTATGGAGATAAGATTTAGACTAATACTTTGATAACGATATCAATATACATTGAGACTAATTCAGTATTTCAACGTTTGTTATTAATATTGATTGAGCTTGAGACAGCAAAGGGTTAAAAATCCGTTATTAGTCTGATTTTCCTAGATCTTAACGATACGAATTATTTGTAAGGCTGTTGTGCTTAGAATTTATTATAATTAGTACTATTCGCAAAGGTAAAAAAAGAACCAAATTTTAGCGTAGTCAACTGCAGTATTCGAAAGTATTAAATATACGCGGTAGGGTTTTGCGTGCAATTTTCCATTTACACGCGTAACGTTACCAAAGAGGAAAAGGTAGTAATAAGATCGTTTTCTCATTCGTTTTATCGAGGGTCTCGAATTATAAAGTAGATACAATTTTCAGAACAAAAACACTTTGGAACCCAAACGGTTCGTAACGGTTCACTTGCTATAATTATTAGGTTATCCAGAAAGTTCGTGGCAATTTCTAACAAAAATTAAAGGCATATAATATATATACATGTATTTATTGAATCACATAGGTGCAATTTTGTTCCACAATCTTTCCACCTTTTAACACGTTCACTGCCAGACTAATACTCTTCAAAATTTCTACTGCGATTAAATTTTGTTTACAGACTATTGGAAACTGCGTAATGAAGCATTTATTGTGGTATTTAGTTTTGTAACTTCTTCAAAGTTCAAGTATTTCATTTAAATTCATTTTCTGTGACACTTAACTTTCAGAATTAATTTTCGTAGATTTTTAATGAAAAATCACTGTCACCCATATATGGGTGACGTGGCGATCAACGAGTTAAGAGATGTATACATGTTATTTATTTTCAACCATTTCGATATACAGACTGTTCCAAAAATGTTGTAACACATTGAAAGGGGTGATTGGGAAGGTAATTTGAAACAACTTTTTCCTTAGCGAAAATGTTGTCCGAGGCTTCGTTGAGGAGATATTAACGAAAAACAATGACCAATCAGAGCGCGCGTATACCGCTACCGCGGCCGCTCCAACGGTATCCGCGCGCTCTGATTGGTCAGTGTTTTCCTTTAATATCTCCTTAACGAAGCCTCAGACAACATTTTCGCTAAAGAAAAAGTTGTTTCAAATCACCTCCCCAACCATCCTTTTCAAGGTGTTACAACATTTTTGGGACACCCTGTATTCAGACCTGTACCACCACCTACCAAAAATCGACATGGACTTTCCGGACAACCCAATACATAGAAAAAAGAATATACAACAATAACACATTTAAAATTAAAATTTAAATCCACGGTTGTCGATAAATAAAAACACAACTCGTTAAACCGTATAATATATTTAACTATATTTTTCCAAACAAGTTAAAATTGTGTCTACTTTATCAAAGAGGGCTTCTGCCTTGGGCAGCCGACTTCGCAGAGTAGAATGATTCATAATTAAACGCGAGATGACGTTGCCGTAATCCGATGCCCCAGCGTGGTTTACGATTCAGATGCAGGTGATAACGTAGTTATAGCAGCACAATAGTCCCTACGTTACGGAGGTAATTTCTTCGATGATTATTACGCCCCGTGCATTCCATACTCTCGTTCCATGTTCATTTCGCTTGTCAATATCATATACACGTGTATCCTAACACTTCATCGAGCTTGTCCCACGAGAATTGTACAAATGTTAATTTCTCCGTTACATTGCAACCTATCCTATAGGTAGAAATATATGTAATCGCGTAACGTTTAAACGAGATTTTTCCAGATAATGATCGACGATAACGATTCTTGTTTATTTTGAATTGATGCGAATCGAACGCGCGTCCAGCGGTATATTTTGGTTTGCTTTTCCACTGAGCGAAGTCGCTGAGAAACTTTTTACGGTAATAATTCATGCGTGCGCCCGAAATATTGAAATTGTAACTTTAAGGTACAATTTTGCGTACTATCGTCGTAATGTACAATATATATACACACATATTTGTATCTCGTTAATTTTTCTAACTATTAATGTATATTATTATGTTATTATTTAAGCGTACGTAGTCTGCTAATTCGTATCATGAATACTGATGTTTAAAAAACTATATTGCAATTTAAACGACTGTAACCCTTTATATCCCTATCTATATTATTATACATCAAGGTATTTTTCAATGTAACTTTGGAATTTAATTACGTATCATGTATACTCCGTTCCGTTTTTCTTTAATAGTACGAACTTGTATCTTTTATTTTCAGCTTATCTTCTATACAATCAAAAAAGGAGGAACAATTATTAGAATATTCTCGATTGTACATATTTCACTGTCAGATCGCTCATTGATACCTCGAGTAATTGGTACAACGGTTAAAAATAGAATAGACTCGTTTACCTGCACAGAATTGAGAACAATCTAGGTTTAATCGTCGAGAATCAGTAGTACACGCGGTGCGCGAATGAAATAGAAAAATAGATGTTTTATAAGTAAGTTATTAAACATCGCGTGACTAGTAGTTTCATGGAAACTGTCCGCATTTTGTGCACCGCACGCGTCGACGAGCACAAACCGTTGTTTCGTACCTCTGCGACCGGTAATAGCAATTTTGCTTCTGTTTTTTAATAATAATTGCTTACAAAAGTTTCTTACTGTTCATACTTGCCGAGTTGCTGAAGATATAGGATTGGCGATCTTTTGTTCATATATCCTTTTTTGAAGTTTATTCTTTTTAATTGTTTAAAATCGGACGCAGTATCGCGAAAATATTGTTCGGGTGCAATCAGTTGATTCGCCTCGAGTTATTGTGCGCGTGAATCAAATCGCAATTATTCACGGTACTTTGTAGCAACACCTAAACGTTTAGTAGGTAAGTAGGTCGTTTATTATACTCGTTTCTGCATGGTCGGTTAGTGGCAATTTTGGAATAAATCTTCTTCGACAGATGAAGGTTTAATTCTTGACAATGGCAAAACGGAAGGAAACAAGAAAAGTATACCTAATTTCTTCTCCCTTTTTCCATTTATTGTCAAACACCATTCGTGACAAAATAATTACGCGTGCTTTACGATTGTATTCAATGCTTAATGAATTGCTGTAGGGTCAATAATGAATTCTCAATACCCTTTCGCATTTAATTTATATTTACTGATTTAAAGCAGCTGATTATACACTTCTACACGAGTCACATACAATTACTTTATGTATTAATAATTTTGTATCGCGTGAAATATTTTTGCACCCTATTGGAAAAGTGTCATTAACACAAGTCATTTGATCAGTCACAGGAGAAATAAGTGCAAATTAAATGTCTATGATTACACACTCCTAGATAAGTCACATACAATTGTTTCATTGTATTAAATTTATTATCACGTGAAATATTTTTGCACCCCATTGAAAAAACGTTCTTAAAACCAGTTATTTGATCAATCACAGGAGAAATAAGTGCAAATTAAATGTCTATGATTACACACTCCTAGATAAGTCACATACAATTGTTTCATTGTATTAAATTTATTATCACGTGAAATATTTTTGCACCCCATTGAAAAAACGTTCTCAAAGCCAATTATTTGATTAATTGATTACTGGTGAAATCGCAAGCACAAATTGCAATTTTACTTCATAAGATCATGAAAGTATTTAATATTTATCTCGGGGTGGAGGGGCGCAAGTAATCCGTGACGTGCCCCCATTATTTGTAAAATCGAGAATCGGTCCTGGCAACAATGATAACCATTAGCCGCCTATCTGAATCTGGTAATTCCCGGTGTGTCAGGAAATACAAGGCATCCTGTGTGTACATAAACGTCGACTGGCGTTATAAATCGTTCAATAGAGGACGAGCCACTGGACGGAAAACAAGTCATGTCGCGGCTCCTCGCGTCGGCGTGTGCTATCTCGATCGTCCTAATGATTTCGGAAACCGTGTCGCTGGATCGACCTGGCCGAGGTACGACGAGACAGCTCGAATCGTCACCCTTGTTCTTGTTCCACTTGCTGAAGCTGAAGCACAAGATTCAGAGAATAGAGAACATTCCGACCATACCGACAACCGCGGATTGCATTTGCATACCTCACTATCTGTGTGACATCAACGGTACCGTCACGCCGGATAAGATCGGAACGATCGATATTCGGTGAGTGAACAAATTGTTTAAATAAAAAATAAGGAAAGTGATAGGATAGGAAATTGATAGGAAAATCAAAGTGACCTTTGGAAGACATATTTTCTTTAGTAGATATAGTTCCTTTAGTACAATTTTGTATATTATAATACTTGAAGTCGTATTCAAGGTCATATTTTTCGTTGTTGAGTGAACAAATCGTATAAATAAAAAAATTGCAAATCTCTGGCCTTGATAGGGAAATCCAAGTGATCTTTGAAACAGTAGACATATTTCCTTTGATACAATTTTGTTTCACAATTACGTAGTTGAATTTGCTTTCCAAAGCCTAGAAGACTATACTCGTGTTGCCTATTAAAAAAAAACATCAGTGATCTTGATACCTTGAAGAGAAGTAACTAAAATATTTATAATTGTTTTGGAGTCACATGTCATGTTATGTGAAGCATTCTCTATAATAAACTGCTTCCTTTTTTATAGCAAACAAAGTGACCAAACAAAAATAAATTAACTAACATTAGTTACTTTAATTTTAGATATAGAAGATGTACGGGTGACTTGGAAGTCTGCTGTCGCCTGGTGAACGCAACCACCACGACAACTACTACTACAACTACGACCATGCGAACTACCACGACAACTAAAGCAACTACTACAACAACTAAAGCAACTACTACAACAACCAAAGCACCAACGACCACGACCACAACTCTTCCGCCAATTATATTCCCGAATTCAGAATCCCCTAATGCTGAAATCTGTGTATGCGTGCTGGTGACGCAATGCGATCCAAATGGAATCATTGGATCGTCAGGCGAGGGTGTGATCAACCCCCGAATACAATACGTCCAATGTCCCAGCAGCAATCAGGTCTGTTGCATGCCAACAGCAGTGATACAGTATCCTACAACTCCTCCAACTGCTCGTCAAATCTGCGTCCTTTGTGGAAGCACGATCCAGTGCAGCAATGGGGTCGTGGTTCCCGTGAACGTCGGGGTCGTGAACCCCGTGGTGACCTACCAACAAACGTGCCCAGTGCCCACTACCTGCTGCCAAGGGATTAATCCAATATACAACAACGGGATTCCAGTGGTACTGGGGCCCGTCAGGTACGCCAACACTCCTCAGGCTTGTTACTGCGTCAAGAGCTGGCTTTGCGCCCCTGGAAACTCGGTCAGTTGGGATAACGCTGGCGCCATTGACCCCAGGTCAGTTTGGAATGATTCCATTAACTGGATAATCGATTAAATTTACACTTTGTTTAGCTTTTTATTTAGAGACAGTTCATAGCTTGAAAAAGAATTGTTTACATTAGGAATATTAGAAGTAATTTACACTTTGTTT